TCCAAATCAGCTGCAGGGGCTGATACCTTAGAAGCAAGGAGAAAGACAACTACCTCTTTTGTGAAGCTGGAAACACGGATGGGTTACCAACTCCCAACAACATACACTGCCCTCAGTGATACAGTCTCTCCCACATACCAATTAAGTTTTCATACAAAAAGGTTGCAGGTTTTGGCACACAAATACCAGCACTTAAAAGAAAATAGATAATGTTGTAGGAGTAGCTGTATATATACATCCAATTACATAACTAAACTAGCATTACTTAGTGCATGCATATAATCAAAGGATTAGTATCAAAGATGCTACACGGTTACACCTTGTGTGCAAGCACACACATGTGCTTAAACATGCACACACACGTACAGTAACACTGTCTATTCAGAGGTGCCTTCAGCCTTGAACAAACTGCAAAGTGCAAAAATACACTAAAAGAAATTGCTGTTAGCAACACACACAATATATTGTCTGGAACACGAAAGAAGAAATTGTCAGAATATTGACACTGCTTGGTATAAAACAATGAAGCTCTTCCATGACCAGTGAGTAGGTTTGCAAATACACTACATCAGTCTGTAGGTTTAAGATTCTTCTTTTCTTTTCTTTTTTTTTTTTTTTTTTTTATAAATACTATCCACATAAAACTTTCAAAAAATACACAGCTTGCCTCTTACCAGCAAGTAGAGCTTATAAAGAAAATCAAAAGAACTCCTGTTAAGTGCATTCTTGTGACAAAGCAATTTCTGCAAGAGACAGGTCTGGTACTAAAGACTATATGTACATGCAAACATTCAGTCAAAATGTATCTGGTTAATAGTTGATTTCAAAAAAAATTACAATAAAATAAACAAGATCACACATCTTGGCTTTTCTGATCATTAGCTTAACATGCTGGAAGATAATTGCTTTTCTGTAGGAACTGTATCACCATCTCATTTTCTCCCTCATTACTGCCTGGATGCCAAAGCAAACAAACTAGATACTTAAGCAGCTGAGATGAGCTCTATTTATTAACATTTAAAGAGATCTAAAATAAGCTATTATGCAAAAGATAGAAAACCCATAAGAACCTATTTCAGTCACCAAGATAGTATGGGTTCTCTTCATATAAAATAGTTCTTTGATGTGAGGCAAATAGCAGTTAATAATATGTCTACTATTGCACTTCAACTCTTCCTTTTTAGGACCACCTGATATAGCCAATCCAGAAGCCGGCCAGATTGGAAGTGTATGTGTGTCTGATGACGAAAATGAATGAAACAATGATAATACTTCTCAAATGGAAAACAGACAGCTTTTCTCTTCCTAGTACCATGGAGCAAACTTTCATTAACTAATGTCTCAAGACATTCCTCAGAACAATCTGGATGTAAGGCCTTTTACCAAAGTAATTAGACCCCATCAAAACTGAAAGCTGCAGTAACTTCAAGCCACAGCCATACCCGTGTGCATGCACTCATGTGAAAGTATCGCACACACTAAATTGCACTGAGGCCGTGACAACATGCAACTTAGTAATGTGCAATATCTCCACCAGAGCAAGCAGAATGAGAGCTTCAGGGAAGAAGGGTATGGTGCATTCAGGAAGAGAACAACATGCTGCTCAGGGAGAGGAAAATGGTTCAGGCAAAGGTGTGCATGCTACTACTTTGGAAACCTGTGAACCTGCCTCATCCATTCAGGGGAGGAAAAACAAAATAACATACAAAATCCACACAAGCCACTTCCCCATCTCAAGGGTGCTAATCTAAAGGTGCAAATATCCTGAATATACACAGTAATGTAGGTGAGATATGAAATACTTGGATTTTATGGAGCTTTCATAAGCACTTGCTCCAGTTAACATGACAATGAACCTTAACTCTCAAAATGTCACATTAGTAGAAAACTTTAACAGAAATGTACACTAACCTGTACTGAAAACTGAAATATCTAAATGGAGTAAAATGATTTTATTGATTCTTAAATTTATAAAGTAAGAGGTCATCTTGCCAATTCTGAGCAGGACTGTTTACAGAAATATTACATCAGCTCATGCTACTCCAGTATAACCCTTTTCTCGCAATTCCTTGTCCCCTATTCCTCTTCCACCACCATTTCCTCTGGTTTATGGAACAGTTATGGAGAAAGTGATGTTTACTACTATGCTCATGGACTGCCAAATCGTACTGACAGTTACAGCATGAAGGTGGCATCAAATATTTCACTTGATACATGACTGGAAATTTTCCATTCTATGTGGAAGATAGAGGTGTGGCACGGAATAGGACACCGGTAAGCCAGGACCACTGGGACTCACCCCAGCCCGCAGCAGCTGCGCGTGAACCCGCCTCAAGGTCCCAAGCACACAGCCCCGAGACGCTCGCACGCCTTGAGCACGCTGGCGTACGCACGCACACAACACACACGTACCCCAGCCGGCAGCCCAGCAGCTGTCTGCACTCCGCACACATGAAAGTGCAGCCAGCTGCCCCCGCTCCCCTCCTGCAAAGCCACCCTCCGTGCCACTCCATGCACCGCTCCATGGGCACACCTGCGGGGCTGCTTTCCAAGCACCACCACTGTGGCAGGGACCCTCTTCCCAAGGACAGGCTCTCTCCAGGAAGAAGTGGCAGCTGCTTCAGCGCCTCCCTCCCTTAGGCTCTCCCACCCACCCAGGCAGGCTCGGCCTCCTTCTCCAGCCATCCCTCAGGCAGTCACAGGCACAAGGAGCTCAAGGCCACAAGCCCTCACGTGCCACCTCCTCCTGCTCAGGCCAAAAGAAACAACCCCCAGCCCAACCCCAGTATGTCATGGGCCTCTCCCACACACTCCTCCTGCAACACAGTCTCAAGGAAGACAGGCCCTCTCCATCACAGCTCGGACCACAAGCGATCACACCTCTGCACACAGCAGCCGTGGAGGGTCGGCGTGCTGTAGGGCACAAAGGGAAGGCTCTCCCAAGACCACAAACTCAAGAGTTTTTATTGATGGCCACTGGACTGAGCACTGGCGGGCTGGGCGAACGCCTCCTTTGCCACCTGGGCACAGCCCCCTTCCTCATCCACTCTTGCCCATGCGATGGTCCCAGGGGAAACACTCGCGGGCCCCGGGGCCCAGAGAGGGGGACTTGAGAGGCCCCCACCCTCCAGGGTGCATGATGATGCTTCATTGTCCTGGCCAGTCCATGCAGGAACTTGCTGAGTTGCAGCAGCTTTCCTGGTGGCTGCCTCATCCACCCTGGCCTCTGGACCCTCCTCTGCGCTCCAGCCCAGCCTCCTGTGGAGGAGGGTGCAGCTCTGAGGGCTCCCCACCATCCCTCGCACAGTCGCTCACGGCGGCTCCCGCAGGCCTCAGTCTGTACCAAGCGCTGTCCTGCTTGGGGCGCTCTCTGGCCACCCCGACCCCCTGGGCTGGCCATCCTGCACAGCCGCCTTCTCAAAAGTGCCTCTTGGAGAGGTGTCGCGGCTCTCTGCCTCCTCGCGCCCTGCAGGCTCCAAGTCTCCTTGGTGCCACAGGAGCCAGGAGCTCGGTGAGCCGGGCCCGGCTCCCAGGTGCCCTCTCTTGTGCCGCCCGGCCCCATGGGCAGCGAGGTCACTGGTGACAGCAGCGCCCACTGGGATGTGGGCCCAAGCACTGGGCAAAGGGGCTCCTGGTACCGCAGCAGGGGCAGGGGGGATCATTTGGATGGATAGTGGGGAGACAGACCACATGGCCTGAAAGATGCCCCCCTTGCCAAGAACCAGGGGCTTCCCCAGGCTGGGGGCAGCCTCCACACGCGCTCACCACTCCTCCTGTGGTGCCACCACCACTGCCCCACAGGCTCTTTGCCGCAGAGCTGCTCCTCAGCCCACCTGGCCCTGGCTGCAGGAGCCCGGGTGCTGGTGCACAGCCAGCACCACGTCCCACATGCTGTTCCCTCCCCTCCGCCACCTTCGTGCCAGCACGCTTCCCAGCCCATGGATGGCATCAGCCACAGCCCACCCTGAAACGTCCTGACTCCAGGAGCAGATAACACTAGCACAAGGCAGACCAGCAGCAGTGACAATCACTTGGTTACAGTTTAGGAAAGCATTTTAACATACTGCAGGCTTGAGGTCCATTCAGATTTTGTAACAGGTAAAATGTACTGGGGGAGATGCAGGCTGTATAGCAGTTCGAGTGGAGACTTGCAGACTTCAACCCATCCATCTTTTTTTCTTTTATAAAAAGGAGCAGTAATTTCAGCACCTGATTTAAAACTTACTTATTACATTATCAACATCATAACATTTCAAGCTGTATCAAGCGAAAACTGATAGTTTCACTCATCACAAATACACTGAGGTAGTACAATACTGTACTACCTCAAAAAATATTCTGTTGGGGCATCTCAGTGAAGCATCCTTGAAAGCTATGCCAACAAGAAAAACCTCCTTTCTCTACTGCCACAGGTTAGAGGCAGAATGTAAGAGTGGCAACTAAGCTAAGAACTGGTATGCACACACCTTTACAGTAATGTTTCAAGTTGGATAAGGAGAGCACTCCCCAGCTTTTCCCTTTTTGTGCAATTCAGTTCATACGGTGGAGAGGTTAGAGATCATGAACTAGATTTCTCTCAGATGAAACTAAACTGGAAAATGCATTTCCGGAGCATATCTATCACTGCACTACCAGATATGCTCCCAGCTACTAGAGCATTGCAGTTACCAGAGATATGCATTACCAGAGTATATCATATAATTCCAGAAACAAACAGGTACTCAGTACAAGATCAGACGAAACCAGTCCAAGGCAAATCAGATGTGTACAGCATAGATGTCAGATCCTTAATGTCAACTCTTTCGAATCAATCTGCTCCTCCTGGGCTGCACTAGCTGTTAATGCCAATATAGCTTAAATACATTGCTCAGAGGTTTGAGATGTGCTGAATAAGCCTATTTGTTTTTTAAAATATCAGTGTATGCTACAGAATAGATTGCTGAATCTTTTTAGGTGCCCACATCCAATCAAATTGTTCTTTAAAGCCAAACGACGCACAGGGAACCATCAATACGAGGGTCCTGCAAATCTGAAAGATTTGCAACTCATGTCTGTGAAACATGAGCTGTTGCAACTGTAAAGTATTTGCAGTTGACCTGACATATTACATGTGTAAAATTTAAAACAGAATTTTCCAGAAAGGACAAAAAATCCACAAACGAAAAAAACACGGCAGCAGCAGCAGCAACAACAAACCTTATAGCCTCTTCCACCGACTGGCCAACTATGTTTGAGGAGGGACCTGGCTGAGACAAAGGCGTCAGGCTGATCACCCATTTTACTGGCTTGTAGTACTCATCACTGGAACTCAGTAGGTAGAATAGTGTGGTCAGGAAAATCACCTGAAAAACAAATAGGAGCTTTAGATTAAGAGGCACTAAATACTCCTCAGAACTACACTGTGCACACATACTCCATATCATTTAACTTCATTAGAAAAGGGACAAGGCACTATTCCACAAGCCTGGATTGAGAGAAACATAGCCATAAGAGCTACCTGTGACCCTTCTACTCTGTGACCTAAAAGACTTAACAGTTATATCTAAACACTGTAACACTTTTAGACCTTTTCTGTTTCTTCATGAAGTTGCATCCAGATTTAATAACTTTGTGTTTTTGTTTTATCAATACATTTACCAGATCAGAACTTTATTGAACAGCAGTGTCTATTTTGAAAAAGGCCCCAAAAACCCAATCTGACCCAAGCTGTCTGTCAGGAGCAATTATATAGCTAGACGGAGAACAAAAACAAATCTCCACACCACAAACAAGTGATTTACAATATTTTTAAGCTGGCATTACTGAATGAAAACTCCTTGCACAAAATGACGAGTTTCAGTAGAAGTCATAACAGTCTCATTGTTTCACAGACTAAAAACCAGAAAATACAATCACGGTACAGATCACTGTTTCACTTCTGGGGGCTCAGCAAGTCTTTGGCTACACATCCATCACTGAAATGTATCCAGCCTTCAATAACACACCTCAGTCAGGAAAATTCATTACGTTCCCATTGTAAAACATGGCTTATATTTGTTCCATCTGCAACCTTTAATTCTTGAATCTTTCTTCACAAGTTTAAAAAGAAACCTTTCCATTTCCTTATTTCCAGCTGACATGCTAGAGTAAGTTATGTCTGAATCTACTGGATAAACCAAGCCACTTGGCCCCCACGAGTCTCTATTTTTCCAGTCTGCAGATACTCCTTTGGTTTCTTCTCTGCATACACTCTCAAAAACAAACACAACACCGTGTGCAATATTACGCTACCAGCCTCAGCAATGCTACTCTTCTGTCATCTCTCTGTCCCTGTTTCTTTCCTACGCAGTAAAATGCTATACTCATCCCCCATCCCTTAACTTGAAATTCACATTAAGCTCTTCTACTGCCAGAGAAGTCACAGGAGTCACAGAATATTATAATTTGACATTAAGTTGCTTGCTCCCTCATCCAACAAGCAGAATAGTCTCAATTGTATATTCAGCAGCAGAAAAAGATGTTTCTTACATAAACTATTTCCCAAATAGCAATTCAAGAGCCCATGGATGACTTTGAGCAGCCAAAGATTATATAATAGGGTATTTCCATTTCTAAGCACTTGACAAATTACTATTTCTTGATGTAGAATTTAACCTATGCTCCCAAAATCTGAAAATTTCAATGCTCTGATTTGAGGGGAGAAAGTGACCAAATTCAAGGAGATCTACCACTAAAACATTATGTTAAGATTTTAATTCAGCATTTTCATGTATATCCAGAAACATGTGGCTTAGTTTGTGCATGGGTTTGGTAGACTTGGGAAATGTTTTTGCATCTGCTGTCCAAATGAAGTTTCTTTCTGCCCACTAGCTTCACTCTTGACAGGTAGTGTGTACATTTTTGTCTTTTTTTTTCGCTGTGTGTGTTTTTTTTTGTTTGTTTTGTTTTTACAGGAGGCAGTAAGAAACAGCTCAACCTGAAATCCCCATTAAAATTTGTTAATGAGAAAGAGGTGGAGGGGAAAAAAAAAAAAAAAAAAACCACCACACATACATCCCACTGGACAAAAGATTGCTATGCCTTGAGACCCTGGAAGAGAAAGAACTCAAAAGGTACTTCTGATCTTGTGCTCACTTGGAAGATCTTCCTTTAGCTCTAAAGGAAGACAACAAATTAAATCTATAATCCCAGTGGGATTTGCTAATGATGCATATTACCAAGCAAACACACACAAAAAAAACAAAACAGAAAAAACAAACCACACACAGGGATCTATCCTAGGAACTACATCTAGATTTTTTATTATATCTGCAGCATGAAAAAAAAATATATAAGGAAAAACTAAGCAGCAGTGACTAAAAAGCAGTAATCTCTCCAGGGACTTGGTGCTACACAGTAAAAAAAAAACAGGATTCAGTTAGTTATGCTAAAAAGTACTGTAGAGCCAGGCAAGTTAACTCTCCTAAATCAGCTAACAATTTCATACACCTATTTACCTGCTTATTAGATTTCATCTACGATATAAGATACCACCAGTTACAGCTTAGGATCTAAAGACCTTCAAGGCGAGGAGCAAGAATTTCCCTTGAACATAAAAATGAAAAACTGCCAGCTCCTGAGTGGAGGAAGTTACACCAAGGTACATAATGCCTCCAAACAACAGACTTGGAAGTTATGCAATCTTAATGAGTTTAGATATTGGAACACTCTAAAGGGTGTTTTCAACAAGGTTTGGTTTTCACTGTTACTACACATGCAGTGAGGTTCCTTCAGTAAAACGGAGTGTGCAAACTTGTGGCACGCTACTTACCACTGAGAGCACAAAATTGAGAAGAGCTGTCCCGCTATGGAAGACAATTGTCACTAGCGTTGTTATTGTGGTGAACAAGAGGCTCACGTTCCGACTCATCACTATCCACAGAGACTCTAGGATCTAGAGGCAGAGAAAGGTAAGACAAAAGTCAGACACTACAGCGCATAAAGCAGTTAAAACACCACTGCTTGCAAAGCAATTCCTCTCTGTCAGGCCTGAAACAAGAGATTTAAAATATCTCTCTTCATGTCCATATTATAGCAGGTAATACTAAGTGAAAACACGTGCTTCACCAAAGGCAAGTTTCTAGATACATTGTTACAAGGTCTGTGGTTTTCTCTCCTTAAACTCATAATTATTTCATTATGCAAAATTTCAAAAACTAAGTGTGGTGATGTTTGTCTATTAGAATTAGATGTAGTGATTAGAATTACCGTCAACTGAGAGCAGACCTCATCTTGGGACAGAAAACTCATCTTTTGCAAACTGGAAATGCTAAGAAGTCACACAGAAGTAATTTTGCAAGGCAGAAAAATCTAACAGATTCAAATCTAGAAGTATAATCTTTTAATTAATGATGTGCTTTAAAACTTTTTTTTTAATGATTTTATTTTATGATGTCTACAGACAACTATAAAGTTGTGATTTTGCACAGTGATACATCAGGCAGCTATGGAAAATAAGCAGTGCTAGACAACCTATTAATTTCTGGGGTGTTTATCGATTATACAGTGGTTTTGAGACATGATGATAAACACTGAATACTCAGTACAGCCAGAAAAAGATCAGAAGGAAGAAGCCACACCTTTTGATACCTAACTGGGAGAACTGTGAAAGGCCTTCTTCAGGCCCGAAGCAGAAAGTGAAGGCTTCAAAACTAAAAGCCATTATGCATTTAAGAAGTACTTTAAGCAATTTGATTGGGAAGTGGGGATGAGTTGGTATTTACAGAGCAGATGGACGAGTAAGTCACATGAACACCTCTAAATTGGAACCAAGACACATGTACAAGGCAATTTATTAACTATAAATTTGGGAAGGAATAGCCACCCCTGAGAATTTGACAGGGATTATAAAATGTCATAAAGAATAAGAAGCTCTACTTAGTACATTTTTTTTTTTTTTACTATTCAATGTAAGTTATGAATTTCAAGGCTTATCTTTTGAACTGGTTTTATTAGCCTCCTTTGAGAACTGAAGTGAGCATAGAAGCTAAAAAAAACCTCCTCCTAGTGGCACCTGTCCTCTTCTTTCCTCCACAGGTTGAGGCTTCATTCTGAGAGTGCAGCAATAGTCTACCTTCATGCAGCCACCAGGTGACTTAGGGGATGTGCCTTTTACTCTGAGACTGACTGCAGAGGCCAGGGACTTTCTGATGGGACTGTCCGCAGCTAAAGCAGGGAGCTGCTCACCCATTAAAAAAACAGCTTAAGCAGATGTATAGTACTGGCTTGCTTTGAGGGCAAACCCAATTACATGAATACAGCATAAATGCACAAATATTAAGAGTTTATAAAACGGCAAGATCTCCATTTGTGGGGGAAGGGGTAGGGAAGAAAGAGGTGTATTTATGTTTCAGCTCTCCTACTGAAGGGGTCTTGGGCCAAGCCCAGTCACTGACTTCTGCAACTCAGCTCATCAAGGACAGTGCTAACCACACACCATCAGCATGATGGTACTGCGTACTCCAAGCTAAGGTAGGATATGACTTAAGGTTTAAGGTCTAACTACTTGGCACACACATGGATAACGATCCAGTGATCCATGTATTCAGTGATACCGGGAAAGTTTTTCAGGAGCGTATGCTGCTCCAGCCTAAGTTGTATTTGCTTAAGAGTTCCGCTTGTGTTTTCAGCTAAGGATCTGACATCCAAGGGCATAAAACTTCAGTTGGCTTGAAGGTGGCAAGCAGGTGGCCCACTCAAAACTGGGAATGGTTCTACTAGATGGACTTCCTTGATAGGGAAAATTATTCATAAGGGGCACCAAGCTAGCCACCAGCTGATGGCACTTTGGAGCAAGCACCCTCGATGCCTTTTGTCAGCCCTTGTGCATCTTTGTACACAGATGTGCTTGCTCTGAAACATCCCTGTGAGTAATGTTTATGCAGTGGAATGAGTATAAGCAAGCTGGCAAAGAAAATGCTGCCCAGTCAGGGCATGAAATCAGGAGTTAGTTTTAGAGTGTACCAAACAGTTCGTAGTCTGTCATTACAGACAGGAGCATACGCAGAGAGATGGGTGTTCCCCACAGGTGATGAACAGTTCATAGTCTGTCATTACAGACATGAGTGTACGCAGAGAGAGAGAGATGGGTGTTCCCCACAGGTGATGAGTAAGATTGTCTCGCTTTCCTGTTTCTATCACTAGCATTTTTCCTTTACTTCTAAAGCAGATTTTTAAAAAGGTATACTGACTGGATTAGAGTTTTAAAATATTCCTGTATTTTAGTCTGAAATTTGCTTCAGTTTGGACTGATTTCAATCCATTTCAATCCATTTTCCTTCCCCATGAGGTGAAAGGTCCAGTACATTAATGCAGGGATTTGCGGTGTAAAAATATTAATTTCATTCTCCACAGAACCTCATAAAAAAAGAAATAAACTGTTTTCCACCAAGTGAATAATAATTTTAAGAAAAAAGACTACAAGAGAGATATTATCCTTTTCACCACTTTGTGATCAAAATTTTCTTCAACTATAGCTTTAACAAGTGGATTTTTTAAAAAAAAAATTAGATAAATGCCACTAACTCTGCATTAGGCATACAGTTTACTGAAAATAAAGCTGAAAAAATTTGACAAATATTAAAATGTCTAAGAAAAAATAGATTAAGCGTGAGAATGCTACTAATAACTCCAAGAAATAAGACTACAGAAAGTTAAATATTTCAAACCAACTTGCGAACCACACAGAAAATCTTACAGTAACAATCTTGGTTGGAAAGAAGTTTGGTAAACTAATATTAATGCAGATGCTGAAGTCAGAAGAGCTTCTTCATCACAACTGATTCTGCTTACTTGCATAACTATAAGTAGATTTACAATAATTCCTTAAGTAATTTACGTAACAGTAACATTGTTTCCATAATTTTCTATGCATTTGAGCACTATTTAAAAAGAGGAAATTGAAATCAGTTATACTATGTTATTAACTGTAGATGATACATACCGAAAGAAATGTCTCAATGTTCTCATGAACAAATGACGCAACATCTTGCCAGTCCAGAATATCACCAAGCCAGCTGTTCTGACGGTTTATGTGCCATTTGTGTCCTTAATGTCTTCCAGAATGTGTTACATTCTTTAAAATAAATAAATAAATAAAAAGATATCAAACTTCTGAGCAATATATAGAATGAGAAAATTTTCTTAATAAAGAACACAGACAAGGGACAACTAAAACCTTAGAGCTACTTTTATTTGCATTTTTAAGAATACCTGGAAGTAAAAAAGCATTTTTTTTGTTCCCTTCAAAAAAAAAGTGGACAGAAAACTATAGTTAACAAAGCCACGGGAGGAGTAGGCCCAAGGGCGAACCGGGGTAGCAGGCCCGAGGGTAAACAGGGGGAGGAGGCTGGAGGGTAAATGGGAGAGCAAGACTGAGGGTAAAGACGGGGCGCGGGATCGAGGGTAAACAGGGGGAGTAGGTGTGGGGATGGAGAGAGCAGACTCGAGAGCACTGGTGGAGCGGCCTTGGGAAAAGGACACTGTTATGCTTGTTGAAATCAAACCACAGCAGTAAATGTGACAAACTAAACAACCTTTTGCTTAGCTATGTCAACGCCAGTTGTAAAGTTTCTAATTATTGTTTTGTATTTTGTTTATCGCTAGTGTGTCTACTTTGTTTCTTATTATGTGTCCAATGATTGACTGATTGATCATTTAACCAAGTTATGGCTGCTCAGCTAAGAACAGCTATGGCAATACAGTAGTTACATAAAGAAGGAGAAGACGTGGAGGCCTGCTTCAGGCCAGTAGTACGGGATGCCTTGTTAGTAGATAACCAACCTCAAGGACGGCAGTGCAGATGTTCTATCAGCAAACAAGGAGCAAAAGCAACTGTACAGCTGCTGCATGACTGAGATACTGGTTGGATATTCTTGACATTTAGATTACTGGTTTATTTAGCAACTGTGTTTTGCATGCTTTTAGGCAAATAAGGTATTGTATCTGGGACAGTACGATATATAAATTTTATCTGATGCTCAATAAAGGGCCTTTGGTTCATTATACGGAGTTTGTTCCTTCGCAAGGTGCAACAAGTAGGACCAAGGGTAAACGTGGGAGTAAGACCGAGGGTCGACACAGGAGTAGGACCGAAGGCAAAGAAGGGGAGTAGTACCAAGGGTAAACTGGGTGAGTACGACTGAGGGTAAACATAGGAGTAGGACTGAGGGTAAACAGGGGGAATAGGATTGAGGGTAAATAAGGGGAGTGGGACCGAGGGTAAACACCGAGTAGGACCGAGGGCGTGGGAGTGGCACTAAAAGTAAACAGGGGGAGTGGGACTGAGGGTAAACTTAGGAGTACAAGCAAGGGTAAATGTGGGAGTAGGACTGAGGATAAACAAGGGGAGTAGGACCAAGCTTACAGAAAGGGAGTAGGACCGAGGCTAAACAAGGGGAATAGGACCAAGCTTAAAGAAAGGGAATAGGACTGAGGGTTACAGTGGGAGTAGGACCGAGGATAAATGTGGGAGTAAGATCCCTGCAGGACAAAGGGGAGTAAGGAGAGGGAGTAATCCCGATGGTAAAGAGAGGTTAAAAAGGCAGGTTAGGAGTGATAAGATTATCAGAATCTCATAGATTAAAGTCTTAGAGGTTACAAAGAAATGCCCTTAATTTGCTTTACATTTCCCCAAAACTTTTTCAATGTTTTTGTGAAATATTATTGAAAGGAGGTAGAATTACTGTGAGGTATGCAATCAGAAGGTAAATATGGTCCTTTTTTAGGACATCTCCTGCAGCATTTGAGAGCTGTTGCTGTCCCTACTTTGTAGCAAATTCATTTCTCTCACTACAATCCAGATGTCTGTCCTCAAGGTCTGTCTAAACATGGTTTTCCCTGTGTAGTTTTAATATGTGCGAGCAGGGCCCCACCCTGGTGCCT